AACCTTTAATCTTTGCTTGCTGCAGTCTGCACGTAGTGACCAGGGGAGCGCGTTATCTAGCAAAAGCCAAGCATAGCCTGGGATGCTCTGCCCAGCTAGCAGCGAACGTCCGAGTGACTTGGGGGTATTGAGCAGGAAATAGAGAAGGGAATTCAAGGTAATGTGGAAAGGCTTGAGAGGCAAGGGAGGAAGAAGGAGACCTGAATGCACTGCGATTCAAGCCTGTGGGAAACCTGGGGCAGAATTGAGCTTACTGAGCTGCAAGTGATCAAAGAATAGGACACAACAACCTGTAATAAAAGAAGCTTTCTTGTGTCTGCCAAAAATCCATAGGTGATAAGGATACACAACTTCACTGCTGACACACAGCTTCTAATATTCTACAAAGCTGCATATAAATCCTTAAAAGGACTTTATGACCTTGAGAGTCCTGGAGACTCTCAAAATAAGTGGGTTTTTTTAATATATGGCTAACGGAAAGAGTTTTTTCCCCTTCGAAACTTAGGTCATAAAGTTAAAAACCTAGAAGGGATTTTCTTTTGAGTTTTCCAGCCTGAAACACTGAAAGATAGTGAATGCTGAAATTTCAGTTTTGAAGGTGTGGGTTTCAGACAGTTGTCTGTGAAAGCAAGGTTAGAGAGATAAGTGTTTTTCAGTCTTAGCAGTTCATACATATTAATTGGTTACTCCAACTATAATAGTACACGTGCAGATTTTTAATGAATTGGTATGCGGGTAAGATTTATTTGTAATTCAGACAAGTTAATTTCAGTTACTTTGATAATATGAGTAGGAAACAGTGTTAAACAGAAAAAAAATAGTGACAAGAAAAAAATCTTTGCACTAATGCATATTTAGCATTTCAAATTGAGGTCAGCCTTACAACAATAGCATCACAGACAATTCATAGAAAAATGTTTATACGTTAATCTAATGCTCCTAAACATTTTTTAACCATCATTGGTGTGGGTTCATTGGCCAGTAACATAAACACAATAGTAAGCAATTCTCTTCAAGCCATATTGCTTGGAATTTTAGGTTTTCTTTAGATCTGCAAACAGACATAGCATTAGTTAGCAGAGAAATGTGGTGTTTTAAGTATTTTAAAGGCAGTGGTTTGTTCATTGGGTTTAGAAGAGTTTCATATAAAGAAAATAAACAGACTTTTTGTCTGTTTATTTCAAGTGTCCTTCCAGGTATATTGAGAGTAGATCAAGATGGTGAACTTCATAGCTAATGAAAAAAGTGGCAATTATTTTTGGAAGCTTTCTGCTTAGATCATAAAATTAATTCCCTTTCACCCTGAACAGTGGTTGTAGAAAGGAAAACAGGCATGCCAACACTAATCCTAGAAAGCCCTTCACTTACTGGCATACTGAGATGCAATTTTAACATGTGATACTATATACAAATGGTGAGTCTTATAATGCTGAACTTAAAGCTGTAGCGATTTGGTTATTCGCTACCTATTTTTGATTAATCACTAATTAAAAAAAACAACTCTAGGAAAATTTTGAAGCACCCCGGCAGTAACCATTCGTCTTCATCAATATTTGCTTGGAGTTTGCCAATTGGTTGCTGTATATAAGGTATATAATAATGTGGAAGGCTTAGGGCTGTTCTAAAGTTTTGTTTCTGCTGTCTTTTTTACAGATAATAGGCAGGAACATATGACCAGCCTCATGAGCAATTTAGCTGTGTACACCAAGAAATATTGCTGAGGTTGATCACAACATTCTGTTGCTTTGTTCCTATTCAGAGGTAAACGCTCCCAAAGGACAAAAAGGCATGTCAAAAGAGGGGATGAGAAGCACTTACGACTTGGGAATAGGGGTCCTTGTCCAACAGGCTTGCGGTTTTTTGCTCACTGGTGATTGTCTTTGGAGAATCACTTTGAAATCCCCTGTTAGTTGTTCAGCGTAATGGAATTTAGAAGAAAGTAAATGTGGTGGTGTGTAAACCAGATGAGTCGTTGGTGCTAGATCAAAAGTGCTGACGTTAGAAAACACCAAAATATTTCAGCTATGTCCAGATTGTCAAGTGAATTACTGTACACAGTTGGGTGGAATTTATTACTGAAGCAAAAATCTTAGGTGTTCCCTTTGACAAGGTTGCAAAACATGCAATAAATTATGATTTATTATAGAACACTTTCCCAGATAAGAAAACAGATGAACTGTAGTGCAAATATATCAGCTGTCATCCAACCCAGGTGATCTTGAACCCTGCTTGATAGACCTTAGTTCACTAGTTCTGCTCATTTGTTTCCTGGTGCATGGGTTTCTCTATTACTGATTGTCTTTAAGGCAGGCCAAAAATTGTGAAATCTTGGCATTCCT